TAACTTTAATTTTTTAATAAAAGACAGTTGTTTTTGGAATTTTAAACAGCTTTTCTATTTCTTTTCTTCTTATTTTATATCTTATCTTTTTGCTTCTTTCTTTTCTCTATTAAATCAAATTATTTATTAAAATGGTATTAGTAAGCTCCATTCACCTATTTAGTTTCATCTGTGTACAAGGTTTGTTGTTAGTATCTTTGAGGAAAAAATCGGCATAATTATATGAAGGGTAGGCCTGCATATAATTCACGTTTTTGGGGGAGATCTTGTCAGATAAGATAAATAAAAAATTATACTGATTCTATTAAGAAATTTATTTATTCTATTTTTATAATAAAAGATTCTGATCTATTCATCATCATATAGCATATTAGTATCTATTAAATGGTTCGGGAAAAGTCAAATCCTGTGCGATCATATTTTAAATTAGATATTGTAAAAAATCAATCTACTTGTAAACTAGAAAACTGTGGTAAAGTTTTAACCGGGGACCATGCAGCAGATCTTGAACGACATATAGAAAGATTCCACGATAAGGAATTCAAATTATTTAAAAAAAAGAAGATAATTTGACTATTAAAAAAACAATAACAAAAAATGCAAATAATCATAATGCAATTCAAAATGCTTTTACCAAAACTAATACAATACAAATTAATATTAATAAAGACACTTTAATCCGCTCCTGCACTGAGTTAATCACAGTTCATGGGAGACCAATAAAATCAATTGATGACAAAGCATTTAGAAATATTCTAGATCCGATAATTGTAGGATTGGGTGGTAATTTAACCATCAATTCTGAAAATATACTCAATAATATTAAAAAAATGGCATTTGATTTTTCGCAAAATTTAAAAAAAGAAATATACCAAAAACTTATATCGTTAAAATTAGATATTGCAACTCGATATGATAGGTCCATACTGGGGATCAATATTCAATTTATAGATAATGGAGAAATAAAATTAAGAACGTTATGCATGAAAGAGATAAAAGAAAGACATACATCAGAATATCTAAAAAAAATTATTCTAGATGTTCTAAACGAACATGAAATAAGAATTGATCAAATTTATACGATAACCACAGACAATGCAGCTAACATGATTAAATTAATCAAGCTGTTAATACATCATGATGAAGAAGATGATGAAGATGATATCCTTAATGATTATTTAGATAATGATAATTTAAATAACAATGATGATATAATTGTTAATGAAAATGAAGAACCTTTTTTTAATATTGAAAGTATTAATCTTGTACCTCATACGAGATCCATGTTAATGGGCATTAGATGTGCCTCACACACATTTCAATTAGCAATTAATGATTGCATAAAAAATTCAAATGAAATTGTTATTATTAATAAAGCAAGAAACATTTGCAAAAAAATAAGAAATCAGACTACAATGTCTATTTTGTCCAAATTAAATTTAAAAAAGCCACTAATAGATTGTTGCACAAGATGGAATTCAATCTATTTAATGTTGGAAAGATTATTAGAGTTAAAAAACTTTTGCCAAGAAATATCGGCCCAAAGTAATGATCGTGAAAAATGTTTGTCAGAGTATGAATGGAAAATAATTAGTGATATATTAAAAGCTTTATATCCATCTTATATTTTGACAAAATATATACAAAGTGAACAAATGACCATGGGCGATTTTTATGCAGCATGGATCAAATGTATCATGCAAACTAGCAAAATAGACACTTCATTTGCCAAACTTTTAGTTTGTACAATCAAAGCACGAGAGATTAATTTGAAAAATGAAGTTTTTTGCTCAGCTATATATCTCGACCCAAGATATAATGTATTTTGATCATTTGAAGAAAAAGATATCGCCAAAAAACATCTTTATAAAACTTGGAACTTAATCCAAAATTTAAATAATCAGAATTGAAAATCTAGATACTATTCCTACGTGTTCACATTCGAAAGATAACTTAGATGATGATTTTGAAGATTTATTAATGTCGCATGAAAGCCTTAATAAGAATAGTTCTCAGGGCATAGAAAATTATAATAAATGTGTAGAAATAGAGTATATAATTCGGTCATTTGATAATATAGAGAGATTAGAAAAAGATGCAAATCTTTTGAATTATTGGGAAAATGTATAGAATAGTATGCCAGAACTTTATAAGTTAGCTATGGTTGTGCTAGCAGTTCCAGCTACGCAGGTATCCGTAGAAAGAGCATTTTCTAGCCTTAAGTTTATACTCTCTGCGCAAAGAACTAAATTAAATCCTGAAATATTAGAAAATATTTTAGTTATCCGTTCCAATTCTCTTTTAAAAAATAAATAATATAAATTTCATTATATTTATGTGTTATTTTATTCCTCATTGTATTTGCGCATGTTTGTGTTTATCTTATTTATGAAATAAAAAGAATTGATTTGTCTAATTTATATTTACTAAGTTTAATAAAAATATCTATTAGATTATCATTCATGGTTAAATTAAAAAAGAAATTATAAAAAGATTTTTCTCTAAAATTAATATATACATGGTTAATGATTAATTTTTTTTAAAATTAAATTTATAAAAACCGGAACAAACCGAAAAGAACCGTTATAAATTATAAACCGAACCGATATGATTATTTTTTTAAAAAACCGAAATGGAACAAAACCTTTATAAAATTTTAAACTAAAAACCGGAACGAACCGAACCGTTATACTAAACGGTTCGAAACCCTGAATAGGTCTGTTATTTTGCACTAATTGTTATCGTTGGAATTGGAAGCAGCTTGGATTTATTAAGAATGAGTCTTTAAAAATTGGCTTCAAAGAAATTTAAACTTCAATTACTTTATTTTTGAAGATCACGAATACCAAGGTAAAATAAGAGAGGACATGCGCCTCCCTTCTGGATCCTTTCATACTAGTCTATGACATGTGGGCTGAATAAAGGAGAGTTTTAATGTCACAGTATGTTTCTAGAAATTTAGGAGTAAAACAATTAATGAAATGTTCTTGAAATTTGTTATTAAAAGCATTTTAAAAGTATACTTTGATAATATCTATGTTAGGAAGAAGATTCTGAATATAATACGAATGGCATGCTATGTTGACTTCTCCCTTAACACTGAATCCTAATTGTTATGTATACCTAATAAGTTAAGACCATGGATTTTGACCCATGGCAATTATTTTTGCTAATAATCTTCTAAATAGCCATTTGCAATAGGACGGATAATCTATTCCTCTCATTTGGCTATTGATTAAAGAAATGATTCTTTCAACATTGACATTATGAGCTGATATAGAAAAATAAAGCTTGATATAATAGCAGTTAATTACATTTTTAAGGATTGGAATATAAGAGAAATCAGACCCAATTTAGAAGAGATTTTGCATATTGAACTATCTGATTTTATTTTTGACTACTTGGGAACATTTTTAATTTCTATCCATTGGTCAGAAATTTATATTTATTTAGAAAGGCTGCTTCATGACTTTTGATTTCACTTTGGCTCCAATGAGTTTATTTTAAAATTCCAGTTACAAAAACACTCTACAGTCGACCTAAGTTTTCCGGCGCATTAAAATTAGAGCTCTTGAAAATTATTATTTATGAGACGATTAATGTTCTTATATATTGTAAAAAATATTCCTCTGGTGGTCTGGGTGACATTCCTGCCATCTACATACAAAATAACGTGAAATTTAAGATTTTATGCAAAAGGCTTTTTATTAACATTATCGGTTATTAATTTTCTCAATATCTATCACACCCAATCATCTATTTTATTTGGAGCTCGCCTAATATCTTTAAAAATTAGATGTTGAGAACTATCTAATGGCGATAAGTTCGTTTTTTCCAAAAATGTGTTTATAATATATTGTGTTACCTATCAATATATTTCTTTCGTTATTTTTATCTAATCTCTAATTGGGGTTACGTATTACTGGAGTTAGAAATATCAGATAATCATCTCGCATAATTTCGTAAATAACATTCTAGTTCATGTAGTTTTAAAATAGATTTCATATAATAATATCATAAAACGATTTGTCCTACTTATTTGTAACATCCTCAATATTCAAGAAACATATCAAGTGTCTATTCAAGATCTACTTTTATAAAATATAACAATAATATACCAAATTTAATAAAGGTGAGACCTCCGAGGCCAAGCCCAGCACTGTCCATAAAATAATGAATGAGCCCTAATTCTGCCTATTTAGATAACGTTTTCTTTTCTAACAATTTTTCCACAATCATGTCATTTTCTTCCATAATTAATAAACTTTCATATATTATAGACCTTTCACTGTACCATCTTAAGTGTAAAATTGGTTCCATAAAGTAGAGGTCTGCAAAAGCCCGTTAAAAAAAATTTAACCCGCCCGCCCAGCCCAATATATAAAATTTTGTCATTTTGAATAATTTTAGCCATATTTTGCAAATTGCTTCAAAGAGAAATTGAAAATGTAAGTAGTAAATGAATATTAAATGCTTATATAATTTTCGTGCATTTTTTTTAACTAATTGATTTTTTTTAAAATCAGCCTGATCAATATCAATTTTCAGCCCCTATGTGGTTTAGGAATGCAAGATTCTGATTACCATTAAGTATAGAATGTCGGTTTATTACCCCTCTAGTAATCGAAAAAAAATTCGAGATACCCTTTTAAATTAAAACAATCAAATTCTACCATTAATTTGACAAGTAACACTGATATGCTTGGGGAAGGGAGTTGTCCTTAATTTATGAATTTGCCTATTTTCAACAAAACACCAATCAAGCAATATTAAAAATTATTATTAAGATCTACAATAAAAATGATTCCATATTTATAAATACAAGTAGATATTTTTTTAAAATACATTTTCCAATTTATATAATTTTTTTGTTAAAAATAAAATAATATTTGATTGTGGAAAATTAATTTTTAAAATGCATAAATTATTTAAATGATGTATTTAATTTAAATTATACTTTTATATAGTAATAGTAAAATCATATTTGAAAAGGATGTAGCATAAGAAAAAAGAGTAAAATTTATTGAAATTAATTTTACTATTTCTTGCATAAAACTAAGTAAATTCACAATTTCCAATAAATGCATTAATAAATGCCAATACATGTTTTTTTAAACAAAAATCACTCATTATGCGATATAAATATAATTTAAAAGGAAATGAATTTTAGATATGATATATAACTAATGCCCTTCCCCTCCTCCTGGGTGCAGGCCTGGCACATTTTCAGGATGAGGTTCAAATGGATAATCATGAGGGATAAAAGTAGGCCTTTCCCACAAGTTGATAGTATTATCTGGAAAAGCGTCGTGTATTTCTTCAACGTATAAATTTTCCAATGGGATGATATCTTTCCATTTGTAAAGCTTAAATGATGGGAGTGAGAAATAAATTATTAATTAAAAACACAAGAAAATAGTAAAAAATGAAGTTAAAAAGATTTTTTATAATATAATAAAAATGTTTGCAGTGAAATAACTACCTAGAAGGTCAAACATTCACCCTATATTTTAATCTTTAGGTTGGGGTATCTCTAGTAGCATAACTAGACTATTTTCTTTGGTGGTGCAATTATCATATGTAAAAGTTGCATATTAGCAAAAAAAATTGGTAGTGAAAATACATTTCTAATCATTTCAAAAATAAATTAATATGCAAAATGAAATTTATTAGCAAATATCAGTTCACTTATTCCTATCTGATGAGAAAAGATTCCTCTGTTTAGAGGAAAACATCTTATTTGGGATTTCACCTATCTCCCATTTCTCCTCTAAACCACACATTTACCCAATTATAACAGTAGAAAGGCAAAAATTAGAGGACCCAAGGCAATCTTCTTTTTAAAGATCTTAGAATAAAAATACTTCTCAAATCGATGGGGATCGTGGATCCTCTTTTAGAATTTTACAATCAACCCACATTATTATATACCAAGGCAACTATCTTAGTTTCTTGGGATCTCAATGAGAAATTTTTTTAAAGTTTAGTATAGTTTTTATATGTGGTAATAATTATAATAATAAGGGAGACCGGAGTTATATAACAAGTATTTTGCTCTTTGGCGATTTTTAAAAATAAAATTAAACGAATTATATTATTAGATAGCCTCATCATTTGACTATAAAAAACCGCGATTTTCTACATTTTACATTGTTTGAGTTATTTCGAAGATATTAGAAATGGTGCTTTTTACTATTTATCAACAACCCTGGTTAAGCAAGCTCTTTGAAATATGATGGCAAACATCAAATTTAACATATAAAAACAAAGTCTTTCATATTGTTTTAATACTGGTAGCTTTTGAAAAAATTCGGAGTAATTGTACCTAAATGTTGAAAAGGTTATAGCCATTTGCTTTCTACCCAACCAGCCTTGGTTACCACTATGAATTAAATCAGATTGATACCACCTTCTCCAATATTATCCCTACAAAATAATAATATAATAAATCTATTGAAAAAGAGCAGAGATGCAACAATACCACCTTTAATTCGATTTTTATCAAAAATCTCATTTTTAAATATATATTTTTTAATTTGGTATATATAGTGTAAAAAAAATATGCCAAATATATAAATATGTTTTGGATAAATTTTTAATGTCTTTAAAAGTTGATAAAAATTGATAATTTTTTAAGCATTTCATATTTATGATGAAGAATATAAAATATGATAAAAATTAATAGATTTACATAGATTATAGGCCTTATTATAAAACTTTTAATAAAACTAAATTTTTTTAAATTTTGAAACATAACAATTTTCAATTTACTAAATAGCATTTATAAATTAAAATAGAATTTATCAATTAAAAACAGAATTTATCAATTAAAAACATAGCATTTATCAATTAAATACATGCCATTTATTAACTGAAAACATAAAAAATGATTAATTTCATTGCAAAAAATACATAGCTAACATCATATTAAATAAAAAACCTTTTTTTTTATTAAAATAATAAAAGTGAATTTACATACATTGAACCATATACAATGATTTCATAGGGGCAAGCGCATTGACAAATTTCTTTTTTTCCCAATATTCATAATATTACTTGTAAATAAATTTTAATGCCTTAAAATTATTTTAACTGATAAAAAAAAAGCCTTTTATTGCATTGAAAGGTTTAATGCCATCTCTATGTTGTTATTATTTGCGATTTTTAAAAAATTACTGAACTGTACTAATTATTGAAAAAATGATTAGAAAAAAATAGTAAAAGAATAATAGAAATTTAAATATTGGCTCATAATATTTTCAAAATATTGATTTCAATGGACATAAAGTGACCAATGTGGGCTCAGGACATGAATTCTAATTCAAACTTATTAGGTTTTTAATTTAAAACTAATTATTTAACATCATTAAGAGACATGTAATATAATTGTTAATGAGCAAAATTTCATTTTTGTTATAATTAGAACATATATAATGGGCCTATAAATCTTTATCAAAATTGAAAGGGATCAGCCAAAAATCTCGTTTTTTTCTCTTTTGATATGGAATGACTCAACAATCATAAATAACCCAAAAAAAATAATAATAAAGAGGTTAGATTTTTAGAAAATTATGGTAAACATGATTAATTTTAAAAATAGTATATTAGCTATCATTTAAATTTATCAAGAGTAACTTTCCTGAAAGTATTTTTTATTCTTAAAGACCTTATAAAAATATCTGAAAAACTGTAGGATAATTAAATATAGAACTTTCTTTAGTTATTAGATGATTAAAATTAACTTTTTATAATTAATATTTAAATTTTTTTAAATATAATTAATTATAAAATTAAAATAACTTGTTTCTCAGATAACTTAATTGTTTTTTCAGATTCTATACAAAACTCTCTACTTTGTTCCATCTATAAGAATATTAAATAATAATATATACAATAAAATAATTACTCTTTCTTTTTCTAAAGCATCAATTTCCTTTAACAATATATCTTTAGGATAGGGTATTTTTACACTTTTATACTTTATAAAATGCACTATAATACATTTAAATAAAAGTACCATTTTTTCCATTTGACTAACAAAATCTTTGTCTAAAACTTTATAATAATTTTCCCAATCAATCTTTGGTAGTTCTGATGGTAAGGATAAAACTCTAATTGCAAATTAAATATATATTTAAATAAAAATTAAAACTTTGTTAGATTTGATTCTGATTTAGACTTAAAAACTTGAAATGCTGGTATTTTTTCCTTAGATAATATTTTAGCTAAGACTCTCCAATCTTGAGAAAATTTTGTAACACGATGCAAAGCCATGATATTTTTCAAATAAGTCAAAATATCGAAATTTTTTTAAGTTAGATAGAATGGTAAATCCCGAAAAAAGGATTTTGCATTTCTATTTTCTAATGAAGGTTAGTTTTTTAAATATAAAAAAATACTTTAATTTTAAAGCTATTTTAAGTGGAGAATATTTATTCCTGGGGATTTAACGAGGCTGTTACAAATATTTACATGAACGATGGGGAAGGAGGGGTAATTCATATACTTATATAATAATATATATTGCTCACTCGTTATTGACCATAAAATTATAAGACATATAAGCCAGGGACATCGTTAGCCTTTACAATCTCAGGGGGCTCAACTAAAAAAAATTCATGGGGGGCTTCGCCCCCATACTCCCCTATTTGCGGGCCTTCGGCCGGGTTTTATATTAATATATTTGTTGATTGATCATATATTTAAATAAATTTAAAGAATTACTTTTAGTTTTATTTGAATATTGTTTATTTTTAAAATATATTAACGTTGATTGTTTAATATGTTCAAATTAACTTTTTTTATATATATACTATGTTTTTAGATATAAAGAAATATATAATAAATTTGATTTAAAAAAGAATTAATTTAAATAGTTTATTTTAGTTTTCTTTTATTTCTTTTAATATTATACTTTTTTTAAATTTGTTAACTCTGAACAATTATTCTGATTTTCATATTTTGTCATTTATTATATTATGCATACAATATAAACTGGCATATAAAAAAACACATAATGCAATAATATAATTCTTAGCAACTTACATTGACAAAAGGTTAACAAACTAATATAACTCTCTGTTACCATTTTAGATAATGTTTTATAGAATGGACTAATAAGGAAAAATTTATAGGCCTATACCCAATCACAGCGTCTACATGACAGGATTTTCACTGGATGCAAACCCACTTCAAAAACCTTTGCCTACCCCCCTAAAAAAATCGTCGCCTGTCTCTTTATCATTATTTTAACCTATTTATTTATTGATACTCTTTTCAAAGAATTAAAGGATAACTTAAATTAATTTATTTCTACTACCAACTATCGATATTTTGTGAATAAGAATTTATTTTTAAGATAATAAATTCAATTAAAACCTCCATTATTTACAATGAATTAATTATTATGGCATTATGAGCTTGCTAAAATATTGAAACCTTTTAAATGTATTTGGAAAACAATGTGTATGATTGTTTGCAATATATAGATTTGGTCGATGAATTGTATTATAATAAAAGTATTAATTTTTACAGCGATAAATTTTATCCTATTTCATCTCAAAATTTAATAGATAACCCCCCAAATAATTTATCCCACCCCCGTTAGAGCAGCTTACCCCCTACCCCCTCAAAAAAATAGGAGGCAAACTGTTCCTACCCCTCCCGCTCATGTAGACCCTGCCCATTCAACAATTTTTGAAGGAGAGAGTATAAACGACTAATCCAAATCATAAAACTATATAGTGGTTAGAGCTTCCTCTTAGATGACATGATGGAAGCTAGATAAGTAATCGAGAAAATTATTGTGAGATATTAATTTCTAAAAGATTATCTTCTATTTTAAATGATATATAAACGACTACACAGTTGACCATTATTGTTTATCTATCTAAAATATGCAATTATATGCTCTCAGCCGTTATAGTAATTCTTAAATTACATACAAATAATAGATGCTGATTAATTTGCAGTAATAGCCATGACACTCACGATGTAAATTAATATCAGAATTTATTATGTTGGATAAATTGATAAAATAAAAACACTAAAAATCTTTGGAAGAAATAATTATGCAAATATATTGAAGCCTGGAGTTATTTACACGGCAATGTCATATTAGAAATGAAACATTTTCTAACTATAAAAAAGGGCCAGAATGATATGATAAAACAATTAAGATTTTATATATTGTCGCACCACCTTGGTATATTATATCTTAAAATAATAGTAGTTTGTAATAATAAAAATATACTTGTATTAAAAATTTAACTCAAGACTGTTTTTTGAAAAAGAAAAAAATAGCTTTCCTAAAAACACGTAAAAAAAGAGAAGGAAAGATATCAAATTTATTATATCTATTGCAGAATGAATAATAAAATGTTTAATATTTAAATTCGAATACAATTTGTTATTATATTTATTATCAAAACCATTTATTAGAAAAATTTATTATAATATTAACTGTAATATATTATATAACTGTCAAATACGTCTATAAAACTAGCATTATATCTAAAATTTTATAAACAATTGTATATAGTAGAGGATTATAAACTATATGTCTACTTACTTTTTATAAAGAAATCTCTTATACTTATTTGGAACTTGAAATAATTTATATAATAAATGTCAATTAAACTACAACTGTTAAAGCTAAATTAATATTTAGTGAGTGCAGGCTGACATAGTGAAAATATAATTTATATGTATTAATCTAATCTAATAATTAAAATAATATTCATTTAATAAAAATTTAAATAGTCTTATTAATTTCTAAATAATAAAATTATATCTATCTATTACTTAATGGAATTATAAAAGAAATCATTCAGTGGGCAATCAAAAAAATTTATAATTAGGAGCTATTAAAAAAAAAATTTTTTGCTTCAGGGGGCTATTCAAATTTTTCAGGGAACTCGAGCCTAGTGTTGTTAATTGGTTGGTTGTGTAGAGCCCAGACCCGGGGTTTGGGTCGAAAATATCGACTAAACCAGCTCTGAGCACGAACCCCGAGCACAGACCCGGGCTTCAGACCCGGGGTTCAGACCCGGGATTCAGACCCGGGGTTCAGACAAGGGGTCCAGACCTGGCACAAGAATCCATTTATTTTTAACTTTTTTTGAACTTAATAGGAAGGTATACATAAGATTTATTCATTAAAAGAACAAGCGTTCCCTCTAGGTCTCGCTCGATAGGCTAATATGGCTAGGTGTGTTAATTATATACTGTAGTCTACTATTAATCATTATTATTATGAATATTTTTAACAACAACATGATGATATTGATATTATGTATGGGCGTCAAATAAAAGGTGTTTTAATTAAATGTTGCTTTAATACTTATTATTATATTAATATTCTAAGTGGGCGGGTCTACTAAGTCTTATGAGGTCAGAAATATTTTTAACAATGGAAAATATTGATATGGGTAGTGTTGTTCGACTCAGTCGAAAACTGAGTCTAAGTTTTGGGTCGAAAAAATCGACCCAAACTGACTTGAGTTATGAACTCGAGTCGTGAACTCAAGTCGACTCAAGTTGTGAACTCAAGTCGACTCAAGTCGTGAACTCAAGTCTATATACTTGAGTCGACTAGAGGACAAATAGTTATACTTATATGAACGTGAGTCGACTAGAGGACGAATATTTCATATTTGTTATTATTAATTTATTTATTTATTTGCTCTGTTTTTACACAGGATAATTATAATGACCAATATTGTTTGTTAGCTGTTTTAATTTTCCACCTATTAAAATAAGCTTAAAATTTTAATGTAATGTGCAGATACACATGGTATGTGTACCTGGACCACCTGCTAAAACACAGTTTTGGTCGTAAGAAAGCAAATCTACACAGATCTAACTGTATATCGTTATGAATCTCTCTAAAGTGAATGAAAAGTTCTTTAATATTACATAAAATTAGCCTTTTCTGCACTTGATATTTTCCTATTTACATATAAAATTATTTTTGCCTGCATAAGTAGTGTTGTTAATTGCTTGGTTGTGTAGAGTTCAGACCCGGGGTTTGGGTCTAAAATATCGACAAAACCAGCTCTGAGCACGAACCCCGAGCACAGACCCGGCGTTCAGACCCAAGGTCCAGATCCGGAAAGATGGCACAAAGGTTTAGACATTATCGAAAACTCGATGCTTAGACAATTGTTTTCTGGTTAAAATATTGATCTAGCCGTTTTTAAAAATCGGCTCAAAAATAACCGTTTAACACTAATAGAAATCCTGATCACATTATTTAATAAATATATATTTTATTATATCATTGAAAACAAACTCCCTTTTTTGCTTAAAAATACAGGTAAAGCATTATAGGTAAACCGAATGTTAAAGACTCAATTTGGTGCCAATTTTTATTATTTTTTGATAGCCCTTTAGAGAATATTTTTACTTACAATATGATATATAATTAGTTTTTGAGATAAAATATTTATTTTTTGTTTAAATAATTTCATTCCCAAGTCAAAATTAAATATAAACCCTCTTCCTCCCTCCCTCTTTTCTTTACTTTATTATTTATATCCTTGTTTATAAAAAAAATATAAGAATTTTAAATTTTCATTTGATAAATTTTTTAGAGAATTTTCTTATAAATAAACAAGAGTTTTATATAAATAAAAAAAACATTAAATAAATGTATCCCACCCAAATTTATAAATGGGGGTTTTATTATAAAACAATTATTTTATTCATTTTATTCAATTTTTTTATTTTATATAACATTATTAATTCCTGATTTTTTATTTCAAAATATAATAAACAAGTGAAAATAAAAATAAAAGGAAAAAACAAGAAAGTTAAACTTAAAATTAAAAATTATAAAATTTTTTTTTTATATATAATGCAAAGTAAAAAAAATAAGATGCAAATTATTTAAATTATCTCAAATAATTCTTGCTGCTCCTTGCACCCAGGTCTCAGTTGAGAGAGCATTTAGTGCATTAGCACTAACTGTAACCTCTCTAAGGACAAGATTAGACAAAGATATACTTGATGATATTTTAATTCTAAAGCTTAATCGTACATTGTTAAATAATGTGATATTTTAAATCATTATTTATATAACCTATTTCATTATAAAGTTATTGTTTACATTGAAATTTTAATAAATAAAAATTCATATATATGACTGATTTAGATGATAACAATATAAATAGATTTTTTGTATGAATAGTATAATCAGAGGGGGGCCTATTTTACGGGATAGGTTCTAAATCGCTAAAACAAAAATCGCTAAAAATTGGGAACATGGCTTAAAA